GCTTGCACCATCTTTTTGCCTGCTGCCTTTTATGTGGTATCCTTTCTACTTGGTGATTGAATGTTTTGTGTTGGTTGACATAAGCAAACACCAAAGAAGAGGCAATATTGTCGTCTTAGGGAGGGTGGATTCGTTAGTATGGGCGTCGGATAATGGACATCTTGAGGTGGTGGTGGAGAGGTTATCTACACACATGGCGGCCACAGTAGACCTGCAAGATAAGGTACAATCTGGGTGTATTGTGATTATTCAGACATCCTTAATTACCGATTTATCAGAATGGGTGGAGTTCATGATGGTTGCATCTCAGGACGGGACAGTGGACGGTGGTGACACGTATTACATCTGAAGCCAGTAGTAGATTTGCTAATGGAGGTTGCGTAAGTGTGTGGTCAGTGGGCAATAGGCAATCTATGTCGGCAGCACATATACAGTCAGCCAGAAAGGGTGATGGGGTCGGTGGTTTGTGACTTTCTTTGTAGTAGAGTGGGCAAACCAATAGAAATCAGAGTCACCATAATTATATTGGCTAGCTCTACCTTATAAGGGAAATGTGAAGGACTGACTTTTGTCTGGAAAAAGATATACTACACAGTGCTTTGTCACTTGGTTGTGGGTTCTGTCAGTCTCTCTCTTTCTCTTTTCTGATCTAAGAATGTAGTAATGAACGAAGATATCACCCCCCCCCCCCCCCCCCCCCCCCCCCCCCCCCCCCCCCCCCCCCCCCCCCCCCCCCCCCCCCCCCCCCCCCCCCCCCTCCCTACTTTATCTTTGTTGAAACTAGAGGGGTGGAGAGCACTGATGGTACATCTGACACTGGGAATGTGGAGGTGGTGGACAAATTATTACAAACATGGAGCCACAGTAGATCTGCAAAAAGCGGTATAGCCTATTTCAAACCTTGATAATTATACTGAGGGGTCACTTCAACATAATGTAGAACTTAGCATGTGTACACAGTTTGAGACATTACTGCATCGTTTTACTCAGTCCATCTCCTTATGTAGCAGGACCTCCTGCTAGGTGCTAGCTCCTAACAGCTGGAGCAGGTTCTTGGAGACTGATATAATTATATACAATGATGTATCACAGTGTTATAGCAGCAAAACTGTGGTGAGAAATAATTAATTCCGCATATTGGGTGTTTGTTCCACATGCAGTTTTCTGCCTGTCGAGCTAAACAGAAAAAGTTAATAGTCAGGTTTGTTGCAACGGGTTAGACGAAATTCTGAAACAGCCTTATCTGTTAGAAAACCTGTGTGCAGCACATTTGAGTGATGCCCAATAGGCTGGATGGAGATGTTCACTGATGACGCATCTCAGGAGGGACATGTGGAGGTCGGTGGACAAGTTATTACAGAGGCATGGAGAGGCCACAGTAGACCGCAGAGAGAGTGAGGATAAGCCTAACACCGTATATAACAGCTATCACTCTCATTAACCTTTCCTTGGACAAAAATATGCCTGAGTGTCATGGTTGCCTCCTGAGACTGAGTGTGTGCTGTGTTCAATAAAAAAGCACTAAGTGCAAACCCTCGCGAACGGCGCATGCGCGATACTGCTATTGATGGGACTGGACGGCTGGCGGGCCCGGGGCGATTTGCGTTTACACTCGTGGTCTTCGCGAGTAGCCCGCGGAGAGTCAGACACGGGCTAGCTACAGTAGTAGGGTGATTGAGCATGACCGGCCATGGTTGTGACTCCTGAGCCCCAAGGGACACAGAGCGAGCGGATCAGGTCACGGAAGCCGTGCGATTTATGCATATTGGCCTATTTTCACGGCATATCTCTCGAACGTAGTTCTGAAGGCCGGGGTTGGCCTGTCCGCCAGGGTTCCGAAGGCGGAGGCCCCCCTCCCACACGCTCTCCCCCCTTTCCCTTTAGCCACCCCTAACTTATTTGCTTCTCCCCCCAACGCTCCCCCATTCAACCGCTCACCTTCCCTAATTGACTTTTCCTACCCATCCCATAACCCTCGATCCTCCTCCTACAACTCTCCACTCCCCCCCTACCCCCCACCCTACCGAATCATCCACCACCCGCAGCCCCGCCATCGACTACCACCTCTCTTTCCATCGTGCTTGGTTTATGGGGGGGCGCTGGTGGTTGGGGACCCGGGGGGCTGGGAGCCCCATCGGGGCGGGGGGCTGGGGGCGCGTCTACGCGCGTTTCCGACCTGGGATGCTCCGGCGGGGACGTGCGGTGGGGGTGCTGGGAGGGGGGGGTTTTTGGGCGGTTTGCCGTGCGTGGTTTGGGCTACGCTCATTAGCCACTCGTGCCTGTAAGTTGCCAGAATTAAGTTGTCGCACACAGACAGCAGGACAGACAGACAGACAAACCAACTACCGTAAACCTCGCTGCGCATGCGCGCCGAGGGTTAACAATCATATAGTTTGCGCAAATGCCAACCATAAGTGCAAGATCATTCATGTCTAATTGATCTATTAGTACGTACAGGAAGGGCGCGACAGTTCACTGATGGTTGCTCTCCGTATCGGCAGCGGAGTGGGTGGAGAAGTGATACACCGTGCGCACAGTAGACGGCACGCTGAGATAATAAACCCAGTTCTTTTTACACGGATTATCTGGTGGTGGGTGGCAGTCACTATTGTGTATGTGAAGCATGGTTTCTCGTTATTCCCAGTCCCTTACTTTCTCCTGTGCTCAGGAGATGAGGTCGCGATTTGGCAGCTATCCAACGGACAGGTCAAAGTGGGAGAGTTTCGCTGAGAGCATGGAGCACAACTCGCGAACATTACCGAAAGTGCGTATATACTGTACACATCCCAGTTGGTGGTGTTGGCTACGGTCCAACCCTGACAGTTATGAATCGGTACATGTGAATAGGAGTGAGTAACAGACGTTAGGGTGACCTAGCTGTTCTTATCAGACTCGGCACTAATAGATAGACGAGTATAACCACGATCTGACCACGGCTTCAGGCCTCTCTCCGAGCAAAGTGGTGCCTACCCATGGCTGCAACCAGGGCATGGCTCTATCAGTCCCTATGTTTGCCAGCCAGCTGGTTCATCATACTATCTACCGCACAGTGGACAGACGCCACGGCGGGTGGCTGTAAGAAAGAACAATGTGGCAATGGTTGAAGCAATTGATAAGGGCAGGAGTTGATGTTAACAAAATGGAGCAGGTATTAATTTTATGTTGGTTGAGTTGTAGGATTAACCCTCACCTGCACATAAGGTTACCTCAGAACTTACCTTACCTTACCTCTGAAGGAACCTCTGAACAAGGGAAAATGACTTTTTAGAGAGGTCGTCCCTATCTAATAAAACACCGAAGTAGCTATTAGCATGGGGTTGAAACAAGTGTCCTTTGTTAAGAGGTCGTCCCTATTTGGGAGGGTCCCATATCAGAGGTTCAACTGTAGTTGTTTGGTCTGTCATTTGCCAAGTTTTCTGCCACCATTTTATACATACGACTTCAATGGTACATTGCCTTTTTCCTTCATAGGAAGGACTTTCTGCTTTGATGATGTGTTGTGATGATGGAAATTCAGAGATAGCAAAACTGCTACTTGATTATCAGGCTAATCCTGACCTCCAGCAATCAGTAAAGTTCCTAATATTGTTGAGATTGATTGACAATATTATGACAAGCCTATTATGTAATTCAGGAAACTGGATACACAGCTCTGATGTTTGCCTGCAAGGGAGGTCATCTCGACACAGTAATGGTTCTCATGGAACACGGAGCTGATGCAAAGATTAGGAATGTGGTATGTCACACAGCCTTCTAATACCTAACATTCGAGATTTCATAATTGCAGGAAGGCATCACAGCATCCGATGTGGCATCAGCCAATGAATTTTGGGATTTGTGTGCCGTAATTGAACTAATGGAGCCACAAGCTACAGCTGATATCACAGAGGTTAGTTTACTAAAATTGTGGCAACGGGTAAGTTTGATCAGTAAGATGTTCATGTTCTCAAGGCTGGGCACCTGGTATCCTACCTTGTTGTGTGCAACTGTGTTGTTTGTGTTGGGTGGAGGATGGGGGGTGGAGGGTGACTTCTGGTTTTCTATTTTCTGTGGCTAGTATACTTTTCATGTGTCTGTATTAGGTTAGTAAAGATGTTAGCTAGATGTGTTCAAAATATATACATTATTCTCGTTTCATACAGCACCCTGACACTTCTCTGATGAAAGAAACAGTGGATGAAGTGGTCAAAAGGTTCCATGCTCAGATGGATCATGTCCCGTCGTTATCACTGTATGACAGGGACAAAGATGTAGCCCTCAAAGTCCCAACAGCATATTATTTTAAACATCATCACACATGATTTGTGTATACTGTGAATCGATACATATCTTCTTCCAACGCATGACACCTGCTGAATCCTACACTCTTATCCTACATTTTAACGTCTTATGCATAAGGCGCAGTCAGTTGAACCTACAACTACAAGCTGGAGCTGTGCGCGAGATAGTCCAAGTCCAGCCCCACCCACAAGTGCATTCAGCGCGCGCACGCGCATAGCTTTGTTTATGTGCTAGCTAGCTGCTGTCGACAGTGCACAGTCCCACCCATCCAAACACGAAAGTCTTCTACTCCGCTCGGATCACGAAAACTGCCGGTGACATCGACGTCGCGTATCTTGACCATGTCTGATCAGGTAGGCGGGTGTTAGTCATCACGGAAATAACCCTTTTAGATGCGTTTTACGTTTGAGGGCGGGGCATGTTCATACCTATACTACTATAATATACCACCCAATATTCTTCCAGTTGGGTATTGATGACTTTGCCGAAGTCCAAGAGGCTCTGTGGGCCGCCAGATCAAAATGGGATAACATTGGAACCCGACTCAAACTAGATGTCCATGAGCTGGAGAGCATTGAAGCGGAAGGAGGGATGAGTCTTGACAAGAAGTTCAATCTCATGATCAAGACCAGGTTGAAGAAGATTGAGCCATGCACCTGGACAGATCTCTACGATGCATTAAATCATCCTACTGTTGCCATGTCTGACGTGGCAAATAAGCTTTCAGCAAAGCTAACAACTGGTAGGTTGAGTATATACCTACAGTCAGTGTCCTGATGCAATAACTATTCTCCTACGTATCAACAGCTGAAGTACCCAATACAAGGGCTGGAGATGCAGCATTATCCATGAGCAGTACATCACTGACTGTGGCCAATACCTCATTTGACAGTGGAGACACCAAAGGTTACACAGGCCTAGACAGGATTATTTTCACTAAGGCAGTCAGCAATTTTGACTATCCATTGTTCTCGCAGTCAAGTATTTTTTCACTGAGACAGCCGCTAGCCTCGTTCTCTCTCCAAGTGCACTTAGTTTATGCCAAAGGTTATTGTGCGCACAGAGAGGGGGAATAAAGTTTGGGCACGCGGAGGGGGGCAAAGGTCATGCAAATAAATTATGTGCGCGGAGAGGGGGAGCAAAATAAATCGTGTGCACGGAGAGGGTGAGCCTAGGAACGAGGCCAGCAATGTCTCTAACACCAGTGGGTTAACTATTCAGCAAAAAGTAGGGTTTTGAATCCAAGGATTTATTTTATGTCTGTCCCCTTTTCCCTCTCCTTCTGACTTTCATCTGACATCTCACCACCAAACCAGTAGTAATCACAGCTCTATGCTGGCTTGTATTAAAGTTTTGGACTGAAAATAATGATGGCCAGTGTTTGCCCGTTCACACTGTGGGGAGGATGAGTAGGTATCTCAGAGGACGAGTACTCAGTCCAGCATTGCCCCAGATGCTACTCGCTTTATCGCTGCCAGCCTAAGCAAGAAACTGGCTTTAGCTAGACCATGTAGTGTGGCCCACAAGATCATCTGTGCTATGCAGTGTTTCCCGCAGGGTGATACTCAAACAGAATGCTTATGAATTATTAATCACCTCAGCTTTCTGGACATTATTTGCTACTCACCTTTCAAAGCATTTCCTGTTGGGAAATCCCCTACTGGCCTAAAGCCTTTCAAGTGCTACTCTAGCTAACCACAGGCCTAGCAGCGCACATTGTATATAGCATAATTATGCTTGCGCAATAATTGTACACGCCTATTTTCCGCCTTTTTAAATCAAGAAGGAAAGATTGATAAGTTGCAGAAAGAATACATTGACTTATCCGTTTGTGCTGCTAAAGAAATGGTTAAGAATGTTGCCGTTGAGAATTTTCGTTACTCCCTCCTCTGTCTTCCATCTAATCTCAAAAAAGATCACAAAAGAGAGAACGACCTTGTTTTCAGTGGTGCATGCATCAGTGAACACATGTGATGAAAGTTTAGTTTTCCAAAACACAAAAGCCTGTCTGCCTACAACCGTTTTCACCTTTCCTTATGTGTGCCTTGCATGCGTGTATAACAGGACGGAGTCCCTGAAAGGAGCTGGACTTCCGCGATAGCGGCTCCTGACCTCTCAGTCTCTGAGATCAGCGTTGAGGGAGAGGCACAGTAGTAGCCATACTGAGTGAGAGTTTACTGTGCCACAACACAGTGGTTTGAGGCTTTGCCTTTGTGTTTGTGTTGTGTTGTAGATAGGGCAGCAGGTGTGGCTAAAACCTCATCTATTGGTGGAGGAGTCCAAGGTTCAACACAACATATATAGTACACACAGCATAGTAACTAGGAATGAAGCAATGTATTGTTGGAGAGCAGAATCACGAGAACCACAAGTGACGTGACATAATTAGAGTGTGTGGGTGAATCTACACGCAAGAATTTGGGGTTTCCCCCTTGTAGCCAGGCTCAAAGTATTGGGACTTGTGAAAGCAGTCAATGAGTGATCCATTAGCCAGTGTAATAATGGTTGAGTGTATAATATTATACCTACATGGATACAGTACGGCTGCCATAATTTTGACATACCGTAAGTGATAGATTGATAAAGGGAAGTACCAATCCTACTGGTGCAATTTTTCGTTCTAGCCTAAGAATTAATTCTTTCGTACTACTAGATAAAGAAATCACTGAGACGAGAGCAAAGATTGATCAGTTGCAGAAAGAATACATCGATATCTCCGTTTGTGCTGCTGAAGAATTTAGCAATAGTGTTGCAGTTAAAAAGTTGCGCTACTCCCTCCTCTGTCTTCCGTCTAATCTCAAAAAGGAGCATAGAAGGTTTGTTACTAAAGTGAAAGCCGAAATAAAACAAGCTGAATCAGCTGAGGATGTAATTGATGTTATTGGTGAACACTATGACTACCTCCACTACACTCTGTTGAAGTATGTCGTTGATCTCTACGGCAGCGATGATCTAAAGAAAACGATGGAAAAGTATGAGAATAAGATGAAAGCATTTAGGAAAGAAACAAGGCTTGAAGTATTTTCGGACGTTTGCGCTGATGAGCCAGAAGATATCAACGGAAGGTTCACCACGATGGTTAGTAAGCACCAAATGGACTGGAGAACCGCTACACTGGAAGATGTTGAGAAGTTTCGCATTCAAGTCTGCCGGGAGCTGTCCTTGTATGACTTCTCCCTCAACCTCGTGAAAGTGGCTCGAGGGTGTGTGGAGGTGACATGGCGGGTTCCTCGTTCTCTGGTGACCTACATCAAGAACTCTGTCAAGCCCAGCAGTCAGAGCATGATGGAGCATCACGTCACCACTCTCACCATTGACGGTTTCATTGTCTACGACTCCTCTTTCGGTAGTCTGTTTTTGTTTTATAGTGAGTTGTGCTTTACTTTACTCATTTACAGCCATGCAGTTGGAGTGGAAGGTGATTCGACTAGGGCTTCAGGCTATTGATACCAATTATAGCTACCTGTTGGAGGAGATGTCACCAGATGAAGTAGTGCCACACCTGGTGCAACGAAGGCTGCTGACACAGCCACAAGGAGAAGAAGTTTGGGCAAAGAGCAGTCAACTAGAGAAAGTACATATAATAGTAGAGGCACTCCGAGAGGCTAAGAATAGAGTTGTGGGGATGTTCCCAACATTCTGTATGGCTTTGGCTAATGCAGGACAGTTACATGTTTCAGAGAGACTCCGTAACAGTGAGTTCCTAAAACATTATACAATCATCAGTCAAGGTCCTTCATTCTCAGAGTTCCAGAGTCTACTGAAGGGTGTGGCAGACTCCCACCAACAAGAGGAAGATGAAGTCATGATCTCTGGAGAGTCTAGTACCCAGCCCTCTCCTCCTCCTCCAGATAGCCGCCTCATCACTGCTCAATTGGAGGGTTCTACCCTCACAAGAGCACAGTACAACACCATACACAGCCTCACCAGCTCCCTACTCCGTATCCGCACTGGTGATCTGGTGTATGATGGCCACACCCTCAGTCCCCTCACTCTTCACTGGCACTACTATACTTTTGGTGACGTGTCCATTTCTCTCTCTCATTACACTGCAATGGCACAGGAGGGTATTAGAAAAATTCTTTTGAATGGACAGGAGATTATCATTCTTCATTTAAATGTAAGTGAAATTTTATACCATTTATGCCATCGCTGCCCATGCCTATGTACCTAATGTATACACAGGAGATCGGTCTTCTCAATGCTGCATATGATGGAGATACAAAGTCATTGGATTACGCTCTGGGAGCTGGAGTGCCAGTTGATTGTCGGATTCATGTAAGTCTGGTGTGTAAATGTTAGTTCTTTCTCGGACTCAGTAATAATAAGGCACTCAATTCAACACTACCTTTTTGGTTGGCGGTCACTTGCTGTACACTCACTGTAGCTTGTGTGTAGGGAAGTCGAGCCCACCCACTGTCTAAGTAACATAATAATACATGCACCTGGCAGCTGGCATTCACTGAGGTAGCAGTAGTGGAACCGTTAACCCTGTAGCCTTTGTTTTGCGGAAAAAGTTGCCCAAAAAAGGATTGTAGTCCATTGAATGCATGACCTGCAAAAATGTTTCGAGTGAGCCTTTTTTTTGGCATTCCTACATAGAGCGTCTAATGACACTCTTGATAATCACATACTCTGTTTGTCACGTCAGAATGGGAGGAGTTCACTGATGTATGCATCTCATTATGGACATGTGGAGGTGGTGGACAAGTTATTACGACATGGAGCCACAGTAGACCTGCAAACAGAGGTACACACACTATATGTACATACGCAATGCAAGCAAACACGTGTGCAAAACGTAATCTCAGAACAGTGAGGTGAAGGGAACATGCATACTTCATACTATGAGCTCTCTGAAAAAGTCTGTCGTCTAGGTCAGGTGCACAATCAGCAACACAGTTGATTGCATTCCGTTTCATCAGTCACATATACATGTAGAATCCATCATTTTCAAAATAGCATGTGGCTTCATTGCTTGAGAAGCCAGCCCCAATATCTTTCTTTTTACCCGAAAATGCCCATGGTATATAGCTCCGCTCACCACAGCTTTGCATAATTATGTACTATATTGGTGACGATTAGGATCATTATCTATGGTTTGTCCGTCTGTTACCACGTTTTTTGCCAAATTTATTACCTGAAAA